TCATAAAAAAATTAAACAACCTAATATTCAGATGTTTTCTAAATAGTCAATCACCTCCAAATTCTACTAATCACTGATTCTGTAAAAATAAAATATTTCCACTGGTCTGTTTTAAAAAAAATGTACAGAACAAAAATATGAAACAATCAATCTTTCATCCCGAAAGGTTTCCCCTGTCATTCCTGTTATGTTTTTTCATATGTTATTTCATATCAAAATAAAACAAATCTTTGATCATTAAAAAATAATTCCATATTTCTCAAATTCTAACATGCAGTATAATGATGGTACCTCTGTGTGCTGATTGTACATTTTAAAAGCATCTGGACCAATCTAGAACATTTTTAAAGACACTAGTTGTCTTAAAACTTGTCTTAAACTACCTTTAAACAGTATTTCAAATTATCCTGAAATAATGTAGAACTTTATTATAAGGAGAACAGAATAAACGAGAGTTTCTAAACTAAACATTTAGTAAAAAGTTTTGCCTAATTAGTCAGGATGCTTTATTCATCTTTGGTGAAAAAAAATTTAAATAAAATCTGGAGCAAAAAATATTTAAGAATGTTAACTTTCTGCCCTTTGTCTTTCAATAAATGTATATAATAATAATAATAAAAAAAACTCCTGCTATAATACACTGAAATTCTGAATATCATTTAACATCCAGCCGCTTCAGACAACCTATGGGAATTTGTGGCTCATGGCTGCAAATATTTCCACTTTTTACTTTTTCATGTATTTTCTAAGTGCTCATGAATGGTACACATACTACGTCTAATTAAGAGACAGGAGTTCAACTAATACACATTTATTCCTTTCATTTCAGAGCTTCCTCTACTTTTTCTAAATGTGTTGCCATTGGGTTTGACCCTCATTATTTTTATCCATCCTAATCTTCAGCTTTTCTAGTATTTTGAGCTTTTCTTTGTCTCCCCTTTCCTTCATCTTCTCAATCAGGAAGCCCATGTAGTTAAAAGTGTAACCTGAGTTAACATTCAGGGCGATGTGCTCCAGTTTGATAACATGATCATAGGCCTCATCCAACAACGACGTTCGCTCTGCTGTCAGCTTAATGGTTTCCTGTTTAAGGTTTTCCAAAAGACCTGACTTGTTCTCACATTCTGCTTTATTCTTTTCATATTTTTCTTTCACTTCTTTCTTGGTCTTCTGAACTTTTCTGGTCTTTATCTCATATCTCCAGTTTTCTTTCACATGCTTTGAAGCAGGACACTTTTTGGTACAAACTGTGCAGTTCCCCTTCTTCATTACCTTGCAGTGTCCTGGTTTCCAGGCCATTGTGCATCCTGGATAGTGACAGTTCTCCTCACAGACAGAACAGGTGATGGCTCCTTCTTAAAACACCACACCCCACCTTCCTCCTTTGATTTTTTCTTTTTCTTTGTAGACCTCATCAACTTCTATAGTAAAGTTTTCGTTCTCCTTCATCTCTTTTTCATGTTTAGTATACTCTGCTTCAGTCTGTTTGATTTCATTCTGCTTTAGTTCAGTCAGCTTGATTCTCTCCTGCAGGTTCTGGATGCAGGCCTCTAGTCTGATCCGTTCATTTAGAACCTCCATTGTTGTTTTCAGAGGCTGAGGTTTGGTTTTTTTCAGAAAGTCTCTTAAACGACCCATGTCTTCATTAGTAAAGTCCCAGGAGTATTTTGAACTCTGCTGATCTTTCTCTGTTCTGTTTCTCTGTTTGATCTGTTGATTATTAAAAATGAAGTGTACAGGCTGATTCATCTCATCTCTGGAACTTTTAATTTTTGCATCTTCCAAGGCCTTTAG